ACTTGGGAATGTTGCTCGAGTTAAGAAAAGCGAGCAAAATCACTCGCCTTCGGCTCGTGATTTCGCTCGCTTTTCTTAACTCTCGCAACATTCCCGCGTGTTTGGATCAGGCCATCCAAACACGGAAACCATAAAGTAATTGTATAAAATAAACGCTGTCTAAGCCGAGAAAATCAAAGCTAAAGTTTATGTAAATGAACATGAGTTTTTATCACATATAAAATCACCGACATGGCAGTGATTTCCTTTGTCTTTTCCTCATGAATTATTAATGAGTTAAATATTTATATTTCAAGAGATTAATAATTGTCTTTGGAAATCAAACACCAGGAGAAGCTTTTCCAAACTGATGCAAATTTTGGGAATTTAATCGCTTATTATTGCCTAATTATTTATCAAGTTGTTCTGCAACAAATCTTCATTTACATTACCCACAAATTTGGAAGGATAATTTATCTCACCATTGGGCATTATCTGGTTAAATTGAAATATTACATTTTACGTTCTCTCCTTAAATTCTCTCTAAACAATTTAATTTTGCAACAGTCAACGAGTGTCTGGATTGCAAATTCGATATTTACCTAGTGTTATGGGAGAACTATATGAAAATTTTGAAACTGATTTCTTTACAAATTTTGTGTTAAGAACATCTGCATTCCTGCAATTTGAAAAGAAAAAACTTTTAAGATAAGTTCACTTAGAAGTTAGAATAGCCTCCTCCGCAGGCATTGTTAATAAAATTGTTATCATATTAATGTTCTTGATCTAGCATAATTCACAATAGAACTAGGATGTAGCTTATATGCTTATCTTGACCTTTAACAAGGCCGCACCAAGGGCAGGGGGGTTTGTCTAAGGCAAACCTGCTCTTTTCATTCCATAATAGCACTATAACCCTGGGTTCAAATTTAACCGCCCCACTGTTTTGGTTTGGGTACACATCTCAAAACTTTAGAAAATAATATGTTTACTTAATTCTATCGATCTAGAAAAGGTTTCTGCAAAAATATCTCGATATTTTCAACAAGCTGTTGGGGTTATGAGGTATTTTGTTAAGCTTACCATCCCAAAGCTAGAAATATGCAGTATGATACGTACACCAGTTTGCTGGAAAGAGTGTATATATTATGGTTCTCTTTAAAACTGTGGGAAAAAGTGTGATAAGTATACCTACCAGTTAAGGGCAGCTAGAGTGCACAACTTTCTTTTGGACTGTGTTATATCTAGAATTGATATGCACACGAGTCAACAAATGTTTGACTGATAATCAGAAATGTCTGCACTTCATAGGGATGTGCTGGATACTGCTTTACTGGATACGGATGGTGGCACTTGGACAATATGCCACTAACTTTGTGTCATACAATATAGTCCATGCATTGTCTGTTTAGTATGTGGGACAAGGATTGTACGCCAGACAATATACAGCAGAGCACGCGCGCAGCTAGTTTATATCACAAAAAACCTGTAATTTCATTTTAATGTGTCGCATGTCCAGTAGACTAGTTGCTTGTGTTTCACAATATCTTAATGCAAAACCGTTGGTTTTGTACTAGCTATTTAGTACCGTGGATGTTAATATTTTTACTGGATATCGGCATACTGCCACCGGTATCAGCAAATCCCTAGATCTCATTTAATTTTTAGGGCCCACATTATGTTACAAAGATAATACTTGCTTTTTCCAATACCTCTACAAATTCCAGGATGCATCTGAAAAATATGAAGAATATGAAAAATATCAAATATACAATATAAAAATATTGCCCTCTTAAAGGTCAGTCACGAAAATGACACTCAATGACACCCTATATAAATAGTCAAGAGTGGACCTAAAAAAACTGGCGTTTTTATATTAGGAAACGAAGTGTCTTGGCATTTTGCTGGGACTAGTGGGACAAACATAAGTGATTGTATTAATATAAAGTGATTAAAAATAATTTTTTATAAAATCATTTTATTATTATGTGTTATGTCTATAATTTATTTTAAAAAAGTGTCTAACTAACCTGACTGGCGATACGTGACGTTGACCTGATAATATTACCTAAAAATTTTGTCCCTGACATATTTTTTGTTAGTTTGTTTACAATTTTGTTTACTGTTTACAATATGATAAATTATAAATACACACGTGAAGACTTGCCCGAGCCTGTTGTACTTATGTACTTGATATCGGCGATACTTCAAGTAACAGCATATAGCATGTCCTGACGATGTTGTATTTGAAAAGTCAACTTATGTTTTTTCCGAGAATTTATTCCAGATAAAAATATAACGCAATTAAACGCTAAAATCTCACACGGAAAATTAAAAAAAAAGATTTAAAAAATTATAAGGGAAATTTTTATGACAAAATCGAAATATTTCCTATGATATCTAGGGAAATCTAGGGATATCTAGTAAACATCCTTTTATGAAACCCCAAATATCCCCCACACACAGTGTCAATATGGCGCATACGTTTGCAAAAAGAACGTAAAAAAACAATGCGTCTTTAAACAAATTTTAATTCCTTTCTCTGGCTTTTATCGTACGATATCATGCGCTGTTTGAAGACGCGAACCGTACTCGGTCTTCTAACAGCGGCATGGCTTATAGGAGTGGTTTACTTTCTCAGTGATATAAGAAGCCCTGAACAGTCGACTCATGACGGAGACTCGTATTTAGAAGAATATGACAAATTTATTGATAATAATGATTTTCACGCAAGAAACACTGCTCGACTTGATGATCTAAGGGTAAGCCATAAGTGGTTATATGATTTAAAAGTCTTGTAGTTTAGAAATTGCGTGTTAATTCAAATTGTATTGACTATTGTGATGATACAATAGGATGCAGATAATTTTTAATAAGTTTATATAAAAAAAATATATAATAATATACTGTATGTGATTGTGTATGTATAATTAACTTTTGGTATTGAAAATTGTAACAAAATTTCTTGTCAGTTTGTTTGAAA